TTGTGTATTCATTGCTAAATAATGTGATTTAGCTGAAAACATCTACCCCACCATCAAATTTATTCATGTGCATTTTTTGGCCAATGTGTTTTGACTCCATTTATTGTAAATTAGAATTTAGTATATTTAGCTATTGCTAAGCCACTGTTTGTTGTTCTGTGGGTTTTGGGTAAAAATATAAATAGGGATTTTTAATGCCCACTGCTAGCCCCACTTTTAAATTTTTATTGGGTTTTAACAAGGTTCAGACAAACAACAAATGACAAATCCTGTGATCTTGGTCGAAATGTTAAAAATACTTTTCAATAAAAATATTTTGGAGTAAAAAAAAAGACAAAATAAGAAAAACAGATTTTGCAGTATTTACCTTCTTCCCTCCTTCTGACATCATTCATCCTAATTCCACCGTGCCCAGGTGATCCTGGACCTGCCCCAGCCTCTGACTAGACAGTGATAGAGAAGCAGCAGAATCATTAGCTCGTGTCACTGTCACTCTGCTCTCTCCTCTCATCAGCTTCTTGTTCTGCTACATCCTCTCACATTCCAGCTCTGCTGTATAGGGACTGCAAGAGGCTGATACAAGGTCCAAATCAGTTTCCTACACTATTTACATTTTATAAATACATTTAAACTAGTATATTAATGATTACAAAGCTGTGCAAATTTGTGTATATTATATCTGCCTAGAGTTCAGCTTTTATTTTATGGACCTTGTTCATATGTGTCTTTCCTATTGATGTAAATTAGAGACCAATTTATTTTTTAATGTGCCTGCAGACGTAAAAGAACATTCCCTTGAACCAGATAGTTATGCTTGGGTTGGGCAATGATGCCATGCCTATAGGCTCTCCTTGATATCTCTCAACTGATCCTGAGCAAGCACCCTCAGGGGACAAAAGGATCAGCCAGGATGCAGTTGTGACCAATTGCCATCGTTTTCCCAATAATAAGCCCGTGCACAAGTGTTCTTCCCTCCTTCCCATTTCCTAAGAAAAAAATATTCTCCTTCAATAGTAATGTGAACATACATGTTTGTACAACAGTCTTTTAAAGGAAAAATTATCAGTGGCCAGATAATTTATGTACAGCTTGCTGCTATCTACTGTCTTTAGTTATAAAATAATAACTAATACTGCTGTAATCTAACCGTGCACAAACATATTATGATCATTATCATCATCATAATATATTTGTGCTGCACTGTATAGTCAGTTAATGTAGGCAGCCGTCTGAGCCTGCTGGGTTGCATTTCTCCTCTCGTTTTAAACACATATCTTATGCCATATGTAAGGATTGGGATATAGGCTGACCAGTGAAATAGAGTGGGCTATCTGTCTCCCAAATTCAGGCATGTCCTGTCTATAATTTCTTGTTTCACAGGGGAAATTTTTTTTTTAAAATTACTTGTCCGAGGTCCCAATCTACTTGTTCTGATAAAAACAATTAAGCAAAACCATATTTAAATAAGGTTTTTGTTGATAGCAACTTAGGAAACAGACCTAAACATGCTTGTAGGAGGAGTTTTCTCTAGCAAGATGTAGACCCCCTGTCCTCTGTCTGGGCAGTGCTGATTGGCGCTGTGCTGATCACATGCACCCTTCCAAAAAAAAAAAAACGACCTCTCTAGCAGTACACTCCAAACTGAGCATGTGCAGTGTCTCCACACGATATGTCTTATCAGGAGATATTTGGGAGACACTGGAAAAAAGGAAGGTTCAGAGAAGAGATGATCAAACTTCCTTTTTACACAATGCAGAGGATTAACCCCTTAGGTTTGACAGTGAGTATAATAAGCATGCTTTACTGCATATACAGACTGATTTTACTGTTGTGGGTTTAGTAACACTTTAAGGGAATCAGACAACATCAGCAGATGTGGGTTCTTGTCAGGAAAGGGGAGTGTTGGGCTCTCTTAACACACAGCAGAAGTGCATCTGCTCAGCGAGTAAATGAGGCACCGACCCTAATGAGAAAAAAAACTTTTTTTCTTCAGATTACCCACGCACACGGAAGCATTTGGGTGCTTAGTACAAGCGCATGCTGAGCATCCAAATTAAGCTCTGATGTGCGCTCCGTTAATCCCCTTAGTGACTGAAAGTAAAACATATGTTAATGCCTAAGCATAATTTTACAAGTTTGACATGTGTTAGTAAAACACATAAAATATCATTGCAACTATTTTGTGTATCCAGGTGAATTATACCTTGTTTTTTTTTCAAGACAAATTGGACTTTCTTTTGGTTGTAAATGGTAACGTAAATCTCGTGACTTTTTTTTATTATCAATGAAAAATGTTTTTTTTTTTTTTAATTTAGTGGTATATTTCTTGCTATTACCTTAATTTACCACAAAAGAACAAACCTAAATAAATTCTCCTGCTTCTGACGTTCACAGTGCTACCACATATACTATATTCTTAAAACAAAAAAAAAGGCAGCGCTATCAATTTAAATGTCCAAATCAAAACAGTGATAAATAAAACAGTGAAAAAATTAAATGACCAACAAAATGTCTCTAAGAATTTTTCTCTTTCCATCAACAGTGAAAAATTTCCATCACCATAAGAACAAATTTGTGCAAATCCACCATGGAACAGTGTCATAGGTGACACTAGCAACAAACACATTTAATTTAAAATCATAGAAAGCCGAGACGACAGCCTCTCACAGAATGTAGTAACGTTAGTCCAAAGCTCCACCCTGCACGTTTCGTCATCCGACGCCTTCACAGAGCAGAAGGATGAACCTCTATTACATAAAAATAGAACTAATCCACCAGGTAGGCCTATTGGCCTATTGTTAGTGCCATTTAGGTGATATTTGCGAGAATTGGTAAGTATATTGACCACTTTCTGCAAGTGAAGACGTCGGATGACGAAACACGTAGGGTGGAGCTTTGGACTAACGTCACTACGTTCTGTGAGAGGCTGTCATCTCGGCTTTCTATGATTTTAAACAAAAATGTGTTTGTTGCTAGTGTCGGCTATGACACTGTTCCATGTAAGTGGATTATGATGAGTTTTTATAAATAAATGTGTCGTACGGTATCACACGATCTTTTGTTTTTCTTTTCTTTTCTGAGCCTGTGTATGAAGTTCTTGGAATTTGGTCTGGAAGTTTCGCTGCTGAGTTTATAGATCTGCAGAGTATTGCTCCCAGAGAGGATAAATAAGTGTCTGGATATCTGAGTCTCCCTGATTTGCAATATACTACATCAACAAGCTGAGAGAGGAATTATTTGAAAAGCTGGTCACCGCTGAGTCTACCTGCAGAGTATTGCTCCCAAAGCAAACAAGTGCAATTGATGGTTTATAATTTAACTGGCAATTTGCTCTGGTGAGTTTATTCATTTCTGTTGGTGGTGGATTTGCACAAATTTGTTCTTATGGTGATGGACATTTTTCACTGTTGATGGAAAGAGAAAAATTCTTAGAGACATTTTGTTGGTCATTTAATTTTTTCACTGTTTTATTTATCACTGTTTGATTTGAACATTTAAATTGATAGCGCTACCTTTTTTTGTTTTATGATTGCCACCTTTATTTAAGGGTAAGCTTTAGCAGCTTACGTTAATTGATTACATGTGAACACTTTTGGCGCTATTTTTATCTATATATTTTTCACATATACTATATTGCCAAAAGTATTGGGACACCCCTCCAGATCATTGGATTCAGGTGTTCCCATCACCTCCATGGCTAATGATGTATAAAATCAAGTATCTAGGCATGCACACTGCTTCTTCAAACATTTGTAAAAGAATGGGTCACTCTCAGGAGTTCAGTGAATTCAAGCGTGGTACCGTGATAGGTTGCCACCTGTGCAATAAGTCCATCCATGTAATTTCCTTGCTGCTAATTATTCCACGGTCAACTGTTAGTGATATTATAACAAAGTAGAAGCAACTGGGAACAACAGCAACTCAGCCACGGAGTGGTAGTCAGTGACAGAGTGGGGTCAAATGACAGAGTGGGGTCAGTGCATACTGAAGCACACAGTGTGCAGAAGACTGTCTGCAGAGCCAATAGCTAAATACTTCTAAACTTTGTGTGACCTTCAGATTAGCACAACGGTGCATAGAGAGCTTCATGGAATGGGTTTTCATAACCGAGCAGTTGCATCCAAGCCTTACATCACCAAGTGCAATGCAAAGCGTCTGATGCAGTGGTTTAAAGCACTGGACTCTAGAGCAGTGGAGACGTGCTCTCTGGAGTGGTAGATCACGCTTCTCTGTCTGGCAATCCGATGGATGTGTCTGGGTTTGGTGGTTGCCAGGAGAACAGTGCTTGCCTGACTGCATTGTGCCAAGTGTAAAGTTTGGTGGAGGAGGGATTATTGTGTGGGGTTGTTTTTCAGGGGTTGAGCTTGGCCCCTTAGTTTCAGTGAAGGGAACACTTAAGGCGTCAGCATACCAAGACATTTTGGACAATTTCATGCTCCCAACTTTGTGGAAACGGTTTGGGGATGGCCCCTTCCTGCTCCAACATGACTGCGCACCAGTGCACAAAGGAAGGGCCATAAAGACATGGTTGAATGAGTATATGGTGGAGGAACTTGATTGGCCTGCACAGAGACCTGACCTAAACCCGATTAGAACACTTTTGGGATGAATTAGAACAGAGACTGCGAGCCAGGCCTTCTCATCCAACATCCATTCCTGACCTCACAATTGCACATCTGGAAGAATAGTCAAAAATGTACCCCCCTTCCTGACCAGGACATTTTCTGTGATACGGTGCTGCTATAAACCAAAATAGACCTTCGATTTTGAAAAAAAATACAATATTTTTGACTTTTTGCTATAAAACATCGTATCCAATAAAAATTTAAAAAAAAATATGTCTTTTAAAATGTCAAATGTCTTTGCTAAATAAAATTCCCAATTCGTATAAATTAATTGGTTTACATGAGAGTTACAGCATCTACAAATGGCGGAATATATACTGGAATTTTTATATATATATATATTTTTTAATACTAGTAATGGCTACGATCAGCGAATTAGAGCAGGACTGCGGCGGGCATTCTGACACTGGGTGGGCACTGATTAACAGCCACTGACATCTCCAGTGACACTCATACAGTGATCAGTGCTAATAAAAAGCACTGACACTATACTAATGACACTGGGCAGGAAGGGGTTAACATCTGGAGCGATCAAAGGGTTAGCTGTGTGTTGTGTTGTGCTTACACTGTGTGCTGTTCTACTAGGGAGGAATGCTGCTTTCTCTCTGCTGCGCTGAGAGAGAAAGCAGCATGTCCATGCTGACAGGAGAGAGATATGTGTTGCTTACTAACAGATCTCTCCCCTCTCAGCTTCACCAACGATCACCGAGTGCCAGCCGAGAATCGCTGGCCGGGACCCGGTGATTGACATCTGCTGCAACCAACGGCAGCTCAGGTAGGGCGGTGCACGTCCCCTACCCTGAACTGCAAAATCACATATATATGTGATTTTGTGCACAGCAGCAAATCTGCTATAGGGCGGTAGGCAAGTGGTTAAAGTTCATGTGCATGTAAAGGCAGGCATCTCAATACTTTTGGCAATATAGTGTATGTGTTTGTTAGTTGTTGTTTGCTTGTAGTAGGGCCTAGAAAAAATGGTTCACATTTTGATTTTTTTTTTATCCTTCTAAATTTTTATTTTTGCCTTATTTTTTTTTCTTTGTGTTTTATTCTTTATTTCAAATTTTTTTTTAAATAAAGAATAAAAATTTTTTACTTTTGTTTTTTTTATCTTCCTCTCCTGCAAGAAGAGAAAGATACGATGTCACAGTGCCGATCAGAGGCTATCACAGCGATCAGGTGACCTGGAACTGGGAGTCTCAGGTCCCTATCGTTAGTATGAGAGCCCGGTCTCTGTGCTGTGAGCACGCTGTGTAGTGTGCTCCCAGCACAAGGAGAGATATACGTGGCCCTACAGATAAAGACTCAGTTCCTGGAGGCTGCATATATATGATCTGCTGCTTTGGATGCAGCAGGGCTAAATGTACAAAAATACCACCTGCCAAGCGCACGAAACTGCATGTTTCATTTGTTTTCACATGAGTTATTTTAATAGCTTTATCACTTCTCTTTTCCTTCCTCTTCATTCTGTTTCTTTTGTGTTGATATTCCTTCCCTTGTTCCTTTCCCAACCCTTTGTCTTCAAATCTTCCCTCCCAGACACATTTAAACTCTTTGCTCTGCCTGAGACTATTGCGGGAGATGCCATAGCCCTTTTCTATGTAACTGTAAAGTGACCCAAAGACATCAAAAGCGCCGGTTTGTTTAGGAGCTTTTGTTTAGCCTTATCCGAAAAACAGGCAGCTTAAATACCAGATAAGGCCTGAAAAGACTTCATTTCCCACATGTCAAAGATATTAATATAGCAAAGAAGCAACATGTGTGATAAATATTGTGCTACTGACTCTTTTTTTTAGATATTAAACCAGAGATTGTATTGTGCACTATATATCTCAATTGCCTTTGTTAAGAGGCAATTTGCAAACGCTATGGAGCCCATTATTGTTATTAATATTATAAGGAATTTATATACTGCCAATAGTTTGTGTAGCTCTTCAGAATATAAAGGGAGACAGTAGAGTTACAATGCAATTCAAGAAAAGAGGATTGGAAGGGCCCTGCTCATGATAGTTTACACTCTAAAAGGAAAGGCCAAGTGAAAAACAGTAGTAACTGTGCGGGGATGAGTTGATGGAGAAAGTCAAGATTTAGTTGTTGGGTAGAAATTGTACAAGCAACCCTGAAGAAATGAGTTTTTGGAGATCTCCTAAAGGCAGAAAAAGTAGGAGATAGCCATACAGATTGGAGTAGGGAGTTGATGGAGGATCTTGAGAAGTCCTTGTGGAGAGAGCAGAAGAAGGGGCAGCAACAAGAATGTTTTCGGTGATATTTTAGACGAGGTTGATGATGTAGCTGGGCATAGAATTGTGGTTGACTTTGTACAGGGGTTAGACAAAAACCTGGGAAACACTACATGATGTGCAGGTGTGAAAGTGATGATCTGCTTTGCTTCGAAAGCGGAAGTGATGTAACATTTTTTTGCGCTGTATGATGAGACATCTAGCTAACAGGTGGGAATCTTCACTTTCATCATTCACTGTGTGCGCTGCTAGTAATACGGAGCTTCAATTGTTGTTGATTGTTGGTTCCCACTTAGCTGGTGCCTCTGTGACTGAAGTTGCCAGTTTGTATGCCATGTTGTGAGGTACAGTATCAAAGGTTATGACAGTATATACACTTTCCGGGAAAAACGTTGTCTGATAAGCATACGTGAGGTCGACAAAATGACATTGTGCAGGATTGTGACCCAGAATAAGAAAACAACTTTTAATATTTTATATTTTATTATCAAAGGTAAACTGGCCCAAAAAAGTAATTTTTTTTTAATTTAGTGATATATTTATTGCTATTAGCATAATTTACCACCAAAGACCATCCCAGAAAATATTCTGCTTTTGATGATCGCAGTGAAACCACATACAGTTATGGCCGAAAATATTGGCGCCCCTGCATTTCTGTCAGATAATGCACCATTTTGCCCAGAAAATTGATGTAATTGCAAATGTCTGCATTTCCTTGTTTATTTCTTGTGTTTGTATTGGTATGACACAAAAAAGTGGAGAAACTAAAAGCCAAATCTGAAACATTCCACACAAAACCCCAAAAATGGACTGGAGAAAATTATTGGCACCCTCAATTTAATATTTTTTAGCACACCCCATGGAAAAAATTACTGAAATCATTCACTTCCTGTAACCATCAATCAGTTCCTTACACCTCTCTACTGAAATTTTGGACCACTTTTCTTTTGCCAGCTGCCCCAGGTCTCTTACATTGGAAGGGTTCCTTTTCCCAACTGCTGTTTTGAGATCTCTCCAGAGGTGCTCTATGGGGTTGAGATCTGGACACATTGCTGGCCAGTTCAGTACTCTCCAGTGCTTTGTCTGAAACCATTTCTGGGTGCTTTTTTGACATGTGCTTTGGGTCATTGTCCTGCTGTAAAACCCATGTCCTCTAATGGAGACTCATGTTTCTGACACTGGGCCCTACATTGCACCCCAGAATTCTTTGGTAGTCTTCAGATTTCATAATGCCATGCACACAGTCAAGACATCCAGTGCCTGAAGCAGCATAGCAACCCCAAAACATCAGTGAACCTCCACCATGTTTGACTGCAGGGACTGCATTCTTTTCTTTAAAGGCCTCTTTTCTTTTTCTGAAAACAGTAGAATGATGGGCTTTACGAAAAAGCTGTAATTTTGTGTCGTCTGTCCACAGCACATTCTTCCAAAAGGATTTTGGCTTCCTTAGGTAAGTTTTACCTAACTTAGGTAAACTCCAATCTGGAGTTTTTTATGTTTCTGTGTCAGCAGTGGGGTCCTCCTGGGTCTCCTACCACAGCATCCCTTTTCTTTCAGATTGTGACGTATAGTGTGAGCTGACAAAGTTGTACCCTGTGAAGGCCTGGAAGTTAATCGAGGTTCTTTATCCACCACTCGAACAATCCTTCTTTGCAATCTTTGATCAATTGTTCTCTTTCATCCATGTCCAGGGAGATTAGCTACAGTGCCATGGGCTGTAAACTTTTTGACAATGTTGCGCACAGTGGTCACAGGAACATTAAGATCTGTTAATTGATTCAGGTGAGTTTAGTTACAAATTACGGGAGCATCAATAAACCTGGAATAGAATTATTTCTTACAATATTGAGAAGGTGCCAATAATTTTGTCCAATCCCTTTTTGGGGTTTTGCGTGGAATCTCAGATTTGGATTTTTTTTGTCTCTACACTTTTTTTGTGTCATACCAATACAAACAAAAGAAATAAACATGAGAATGCCGAAACACTTGTAATTGCAACAGTTTTCTGGGTGAAGTGGGTGCATTATCTGACAGAAATGCAGGGATGCCAATATTTGTGGCCATGAGTGTATATTTGTTGTTTGTACTGACACTAATACCAGTTTATTTATTTATTTTCAAATCTACCCAAAATATACTGACTTTGACCCCGACCTTGAGCTATCACCCTGACCTTGACCTTTGACCCTTGCTGTGACGGGAGTGACTTTTGGGGGTGGGGGGACCTCTGTATCATCTCCCCAAATCATTATGTTTAACCCACCCTGTGCCTGTTAAGGGGTACAGGGTGTGTATGTGAATGTCTGAGTCTTGTATATAGTGTGTGTTCCTTTGTTCTCGGTCACATGGTTGTCCATTGTCTGTTTGCCATGTGCTACCCCCCATTGTGCTGTGTCTTCCTGTCCAGCCAACTATTATGGGATGTACTGTTTGTGTATTGGTGTGGGGGGGTTGGTCAATGTCCTTTGCCATGTGCTTCATCCCATTGTTCTGTGTCTTGGTGGGATGGGGAGGGGTGATGATGTATTTCCTGTTCTTGGTTGTTTCCCTGCCCTCTGTATATATCCTGTGTTTTGTGTTAAAATAAAAAGAGTTGGCTTTCTGTTTTAAGAAGAGCTGGGTGCTGTCTGTTTCCTGAGGGATTTCAAGGGTGTGGACCGTGGATGGTGTTCGGACAGGGGAAGCTGCAGTATAACGGAATATACCCAAGTGCGGTCAGGTACCGGTTCCGTTACATTGGTGGCAAGCGGTGGGATTGTGCTTCCAACCTGTAAACACATCCAAACCATCACCGGGATCCAAGAGCAGGAGAAGAGAGACACATACCACCCGCAGCTATGGAAACTGAGGTCTTATGGTGGATGCAGCAAGTGCTGGCTTACCTAGACGATCCTGTTTCTACATGGGATGAGCTTGGATGGAGGGACGCGTCTGTCCAACAACTGGATGAGGGTATGGAAGATGGAGAAGTTGGCTCATCCCTCCAATTACAGATCCCAGAATGCATGGATCTAATTGATTTTTCAATGGAGGACGTTGTGGGTGATGAGTCACCTGCCAAAGTGCTGGCACTGGACTCAAGGGCCACCAGCCCGTGCCCTGGACATTTATCCATTCCAGAGACTGGGGATTGTACTGACTTTTTTACTGATGAAGGACCAGCCGGGGAGTCGCCAGCTGAAGCGCTGACAACCGGACAGAGGATCCAGGACCTCTGCCCCACACCTGTGGTAGTTTCAGAGGCCCAGGGTGAGAAGGGAGAAGAGGTTGTTGTCCTCCCTCCCCCACAGTCAGCCAGAGTGGAGGAAACTGTTTTCCCTCCCAAGCCAGGATCTGTGCACCAGGGGGACAGTGACAGAGGAGTGCCATCCCA